ATTATTGAATTATTCTCGTTATGAAGATAGAATTGAGAGAATCTTTTTTTAAAATATACATTCATAATAATTAAATTTTTATGGAATAATTTTTATTATTAAAAATAATATGTCAAATATTTTAGGTAAAGCTTAATGGAAAGAATATAAAATATGGAAATGGAATTTTGGAATAAAAATTTACACAAGAAACAACTGGCATTAACTTCTGTTGTTATAACAAATTTGCATTTTTGAGTTTCATTTTTGGTGCATCAACGAATTATTTGTATTTGTTCATAATTTTGATATTAAAGGTTGGTTATTTTTTGAGGTGAATTCAAATTCTAACATTATAATATAAAATTATATTCTTTAATATCAAAAAAAATGATAAAATTGAGCTTGTATATAGTAATGTATATTTATGGAACAAAAAAAATGGACCTTAATTTTAATTTTATACAATTATAAATTTTTTTTTTCTCTTTAGCTTTCACCTTTTCTGGTGGTAAGCTCCTTCAACATCTCTCTCCACTTTATGTTATTCATACAATCTCTTTTATCTAATTTATATTTCTTTATATTGGATCTAACTTCATGGCCCCATTGAAGTTTTGGCATACCTCTTTTACGTTTGCCCATCACTTCTAAACTCTCAACTTTATTTTCCTATGTAGTTCATAGGCCTTCTCATTGTGTGCCTATACCACCTAAGTCTGTTTACCATACTTAGTCTTAATGGGCACACCTTTAAACTACTTAGTATTCTTGTACTGAGCACTTTATCCTTTCTTGTTACCCCAGCAATCCTCCTCATCATTCTCATCTCCATAGTTTGTAGACTTCTCTCGTCTGATTCTTTGGTTGGCCATGTTTCCGAACTATATAGAATAGTTGGTTGTACTTAGGAACTGTAAATTTTTCCCTTAAATTTGTTTCGGATTCTTTTGATAAAGATCTCCACTTTATTAATCTTACTCCTTATCTCTTTTTCTATTGTGCCGTTTGTTTGTATAGTGGAGCCCAAATATTTGCAGCTTTCATTTGCCGATATCTGCCATTCATTTATATCAATACTCTCTGTTTCATCTCCTCCTATCACCATATACTCTGTCTTTTCTCTATTTACTTTTAATCCGTGCGTTTCTAGGATATTTATCCAACTCACTAATCTTTCTTTCATTTCATCCTTGGATTCGGCAAGTGTCACAATATCAACTGTAAATATCATATTCCACAGGACTGTTTGTGGTATAGACTGTGATACATCTATTACTGTAATGAAGAGAAGTGGGCTTTGAGGCGACTCTTGATGAACTCCTTCGACTATTGTGAAGCCTGCTGAGGTACCTGTTGTGCTACGGACCATTGTTGTATGGCCCATATACATATCCTGTATTATTCTTATATATATTTAGGGATCCTTTTTGTGGCTTAGCGCCAACTAGATAAGTTTTCTTGGGATTCTATCGAAGGCCTATTCTAGATCGAGAAAGACCATGTAGAGATTTTTGTTCTTTTCCCTGTATTTTTCACTAATTTGCCTAATTGCGTGGATAGCATAGGTTGTTGATCTTCCAGGCATAAAGCCAAACTGAGTCTCTCCTATTTCGATTATGTCTCTTAATCTTTTTTCTATTATTTTTTCGTATAGTTTTAGACAGTGTGACATTAGTTTTATGCCCCTGTAATTTTGACAATTGTATGGATCCCCTTTATTTTTGAAGATAGGAATTAGATAGCTCTGCCTCCATTTTTGGGGAACCTCTTCATTTCCAAGTATTTTATTGTAAAGATTTGTGAGGAGATGTATTCCATCATCTCCTAGTGTTTTAAGGCTTTTTATTGGAATATCGTCTCGACCCCTAGCTTTGTTGTTTTTCATATGCTTGAGTCATGTGAATATTTCTTGTCCTGTTATAGGTTGTACAAGATTTTTACATGGGGAATGTTCGTCTAGATGTAGTATGTGGGATTAAAGTTAAGAAGCTCCTGAAAATATTATTTCTGTCTATTCATTATTTCTTTTTCCTTTATTATCAATTTCCCATCTTTATTTTTGATTACTTTCGGAGCTCCGTTAATATCCCTAGAGTTCTTTTCTCACTGTTTGACTAATCTCTATATTTTATTTTGAAGATCTTCGAACTTGTCATCGTATGCCATAGATTTGACCCTAGCCACCGCCTTTGTAGCTATTCTCTTGGATTTTTTGTAATTTGTCTTGTCATCTGGGTTTTTGGATTGGAACCATTTTTTATATAGGGCTTTTTTCTCCTTTATAGTGGTTTGTACCTCTTCATTCCACCACCATAGTTCTTTGTATGATTTGTTGCCTCCCCTTGTCAAGCCTTGTCGATTTGACAGTGTCTATTAATCTGGATGAAAGGTCTGTCCACATTTTTTCACTGACTTGTGAGGAATCTATTGTTTCAATGTTTACATTGATTGCAAAGGCATCTGTCATTGTTTTTAATTTGCCCCATTTGATGCATGGTTCCAGTTTTATCTTGTTTTGAGTGGATTTATTTGAGATGTTTAAATCCATGACTAGTAGCTTGTGTTGTGCGGCAATATCTTCTCCTGGGATGACTTTGCAGTCTATTACATCTTTTAATCTTCTGCGAGAGATTAGCATGTAATCTATTTGTGTTTTCCTTGTACCACTTTCGTATGTTATTAAATGATTGTCTTTTTCCTATAGTAGGTGTCGGTTAAGGCAAGGTCGAAGGCTTGCGTAAATTTCAGTACATGCTCTCCTTCATCATTTCTTTTTCCATATCTATAACCAACATGATGCCTTTTGTAGCTATCTCTTGCTTTCTCCACATGCGCATTTAAGTAACAATTATGACTAGGTCATTCTCAGGGATTTCCATTACAGCTTCATCAAGGATGGCTCTAAAGTCATCTTTCTTTTCTTCCTTGCAACCCGTTTGAGGAACATATGCTGAAAGGATGTGTAGTATTGATTGACCAATGCAGAGTTTTATCTTTATTAGTCTATCAGAGATCCTGTTGACTTATACTACTGAAGAGGTTACTTGACTGAGTATGATGCAGACATCGTTCCTTTTGCTAACAATTCCATTATTGTACAATTTATACCCTTCTCCAATCATCATAGTTTTCTGTCCCTTCCATTTCGTATCTTGTATGCACGCTATATCAACTTTTCTCTTGTTCAACATTGATGCCAATTCTCTCGTCTTACCTTTAAGCGTCCCAATATTCAAACTTGCTAATCTTGTCTTCTTTGCTTTGACCTTTACTTTACTTTTCACAGGATGGAGATCTACGCCCTGCGCGTCGCTTGGAGGGAACCCCCTAGCTTTCATATTTATAATTCCATTTGTTTCCTTCATTTTCTTTAATGGACAGGTTTCCTTAGCATCTGGCTGTCCAGGCATGTCATCTCTAAGCTCCAAAATTCATCATACCATATGTCATTACACATCAGTCATCGAAAAAAAACTTGAAAGTTTTTATGCTCCTTACCAGGATTGAACCTGCGTCCTTGTTCGTACTTCTATTTCCAAGCATACATTTAACCAATTAGGCCACAATCTTTACAAACCATTACATTAAGTTAAAAAATATTAATATATTTTCTCCAAGAATTTTAAGAGATGAGAAATTCTTTTAATTTTTAGTAATAAAAATAGTCAAAACACTACTTAAAAATTTATAATTATAATTATCAAGTGCCGAATGATAAAGTGCCGCATTATAAAGTTTCGCATAATAAAGTGTCGCATGATAGAATTTAGGCGAATAATAATGATGTGGAATATAAATAATATAATACCTTTGACATTTGCTATTAAATGTCGAATTAGCAATATTTTATTTGATATATTCATTAAAAGCAAATTAATTCCATATTTTATATTTATTTCTTACAAGTATCCGTGCATCCTACATATTACTTATCTGTTACCCTCTTATATTTGTCACCTATCACTAATTAGCTAATCTTCCAAATACAATTTTTTTAAATTTTCATACTCACTTCTTGATTTTATTTAGTAAATGCTTTGAAGATATTTTAAATGCAGATTTTAAAGTTTTAAATAATTTCTTACAGAATATATATATTGATTTATGAAAAATGGACAATTTTACACTAAGAAGGCTTTTGTGAAGGCTATATCTAGTTCACTTTGCTTTTCAGATGATAAACTATCAATTTATTTTATCAAATGTTATGTTTGCTCCTGAGAATAATTAATTGATTCAGCTTATGCAAAAATATTTTTTAGTATTAATTATAAATATACCTTTTAGACAAGGTAATTAATTTAGAAATTTTGAATAATCTTAATATCAAAATAGGAAATGAATTATAATTAATTTAGACTAGTATTATGTTCCAAAATTTTATAATAAAAATTAAGAAATTTAGGTTCGACTAAAGTTAATTGTTATCACCTTAAAATGTCTGCTAGCCTATTTATAATCACTTGATCTGTTAGGTTACCAATAAATTTATTTGCCTAATTCCTATCTTCCACCTTTTAATTAAGCAATAACCCTATCTTATCACTATGGCTCTAACCTTTAATCCTATTCTTTATCGTTAAGCTATTACAAAATATTTTAACAAAATATATTTCTGCTAATTAAAAAATTTTCTTCAGTTCATATTTACTTAAATTGACTATTATTATATTATCGAGAATGATTGTGAATTAACACATATATAGACTATATATATATACAAATATTTAAAAACAAAGCACTGTAATTTATTACCAAGCACATAAATATTTTAGTAAAATATGAAAAAAATGATTATTTAATCAAATAGCATATAATGAAAATTGCGAAAAATTTAAGGTAAATTTACGTGTTATATCAATTAAAATATTAACAAAAATCAATTTCCGAAAATAATTTAATTGTGAGACATAATTTATATTTCAATGCGACATAAACAATATTATGTTTTTATCTAATGTATAAATATATTTGTTTTATTATATAAATATCAGAAATGATCATAAGCAGGCTACTTTTTATATGCAATTTGTAAGAATGGAAGATATATTAATATTTCCACCTATAAAAGTGTATTGATAATAATTGTTTCTGGGTAAGCTCCAAGATAAACTGTATACGATATGATTTAAATATATGTCTATAATTGTAATGTTTGCATGTTTCTTTTTTACTGATACCAAATTATCGCTAATAAATATTGTAATCTATGAATAATATTTTAAAAACAATATATTCTTAAAAAAATATTTATTCACTTTTAGCTTTTCTTAACTTTCCTTCCCAAATCTTGTTGTCAGAAAAAAATTATGACTCACATTTGTGTTCCTAAATTGAATACATTTGTATGGCCTGCCACTCTTTAACGATAACATACATATCACAATCGTTGAACCATTGCTATTCAATTGGAATTCGACCTAAGATAAAGTTATTAAAACGTTGAGTAATGACTATTCACTTTAGCTTCAATTTTTAATTTTTGATTGAATTCATATAAATTCATTAGGTTCGACAATTCAAAACTTTCAAATATCCACAAAGTTTTGTAAATGGTGTTGTTTATTGAATATGTATTTATATACCCATCACCCCCTTGGATATAGGATATTATCGAATTATTCTCTTTATGTAGATAGAGTTCAGAGTATCTTTTTTATTTATAATAAAAAAAATAAATTTTATTATTAAAAATAATATGAATTGTTTTAGGAAAAGAAATATATGGTAAGTTAAAAAAAATATGGATGAGTAAATTTTATAATAAATATTTAAACGAGAAACAATGGGAATAAATGTTTGGTTTATGGAAAAGATTAAATGTGAAGGCAATGATAAAAATGGAGATCGCGATCTAATAAATTTAATATTTTTTTTAATAATTGAGTAAAAGTACATTAACCATAACATACCCCAAGTGGTAAAATGAGTATCCTTTATGATAATCAATATTTCTATTCATTTATTTTAATAGTTAAAACCTTTACATTCTATAAATTATTCATATAAAAATAATAAAAGATCTCACTCTATTCTCCCATCTGTATTATATACATTGAATACGCCAGGATAATGTATCAATAAGCATAAATCGTTAAAATCAACATCTAAAGTTATAAAATAATAAAATATTAACTTAAAATTTTTTTTATGGGATATATCTTGATATATTTCTATATGCTAGAAATTCTACTTATGATTATAAATTATGTTTTTTTTCAAATTATATAAAACTCACAATTCGGTCGATTTTTCAATATTCAAAAATTACATGTTTGTATATTTTTATTCTTAGAACATTGATATTTAATATAAGTAATATAAAAATTGAAGACAAATATCATGCTTTCTAAATTTTTGACATTTCATGGTTTAAAAAGGTATGATTTCCTGAAAGATTTATTATAAAATTGATTTAAATATTAATATCCACCTTAAGAAACACGCTCTAACAATATTGTATATTTATTTATTAATTTATATATTAATTTTAAATTTTCAAGTTCATAATTTTATAAATTTAGATGTATTTATCTCTTCCTAATGTGAGTTTTGGAATTCGTTTTAAGTTATCGCTATATAAAACTCAAGTTTTACAATTTAGCATGTTTTGTAATATATGCAGTGTTTAAGCTACATAGTGATATTATTCGGTTAAATGTGGTCATACAACTGGTTATTTAAATAACTAATGTAGGGCTAATACGATTATATATTTATGAGATTAATGTTATTATATATGTATAATTAATAAATGTAAACCTCTTTGAGCAGGTATAGTTCTAATATAAGCGAAGATGCATATGAATCGAATTAGTTTCATTTTAAAATATTTTGATTTACCGTTTTAATTTATAATTATATAAAAGAGATCATTAATTTAATAATTTAAAATATTCATGCCTAATTTTTCTGCTAATGCTTGCAAAATATTTCTTATTTAAATCTGTAAAATATCTGTATATCTATATAAATTATAAAAGTCATTTACCTATAACAAATAAACAATTTTTTCCCCGACCTTCCTCAGGTTAAAAACCCCTCTGCATTAAATCAAGATAATTTATTTAAAAAAAAAATCATTGAATATATTTTTAAAAATTAGCTTTAAATAATAATTTTCTTTATTAATTCAGTTAATAGAAATATATAAATCAGAATAAAGGAAAGATACAACCCCCCCCCCCCCCCTTCTTTAAATTTTTTAAAAATAACCCTTCTTTCTATTTAAAAAAAAATGAGTTTTTATCCCACGAAAATCATCAGCTTACCAAATATTTAAATTTTTTTCCAAGTAATTAATATTATTTAAAACTATAAAAGTGCTTTATTAATTTAAATTAAATTTATTTTTTTAAATAGATTTATAATTACTAATTCATTTTTTTTTGTTACTAATTTTATCAAACTCTTTTTCATATTTTAAATTTCATCCTTGTTGAGTAATGTTAAGGTAGGCAGGGAATTGTGCAATAAATGGAATTTTATTTATATTAAAAATATTCAAAATTTACAATCCTTTTTTTGGTTTAATAAAATATCTATATATATATTTTTTTTAAATTAATTGAGTTAATTATTTAATATATTAATAGAAAATATTTGATAGAATACCATAAATGAATGAAATAAATTACAATTTATGCTATACATCACCTTAGTATAAATTAAATAATTTTATATATAAATCCAAATTTAACAAGTAATAAGCTGCTTCAACATCTAATTCCATAATATAATATTAATGCAATCCATTTTATTTAATAAAATTAATTTAAATGGCTTTTACTTTTTGACATCATTGAAGATTTGGTTTCCCCTCTTCCATTTATCCATCTTATCTAAACTCTTAATTTTTTTTTCTATATTATTTTCAGCCCTACCCTGGTACTCCCATACCCCCATGTCTATTTACAATGATTGTTTTTATGGGTACTACGTTTAAACTTCATAGTTTATTTTCTTATCCTATCCTTGGCTATTATTCTCAGCATTTTCATCTCCATTATCGGTAAACTTCTTAAGTCTGACGTTTATTATTTTTATTGACTAAATTTTGACAAGAAGTAATTAAAATTAATAAAAATGTTCAATCACATTAAAAATACAACCAAATGTTTATAAATTTTTTAAAATATTTATCTTTAAATTTAAAATAATAATTTAAAGAACCATTTCTTAAATAAAATACTTGTTCTATAAAGCTATAATAAATATCAATTTTTTCATTTTAAAGATTAAAGATTAAAGGCTGTTATGTTTATGATTAAATATCGCGAACTGTCATTGAATAAGACAAGACACTTAATAAAAGAATTATTCATTAATATTCTCATATTTTTGTCATGCAAGTATTAAAATTAGAGATCTGGGATAATTATGCCTGGCTCGAACGGGCTTTGGGCCAGGACGGGTCTATTTTTTAAGAAAAATTTGGAATCTCATTGTTCGAGCCTAATATTTTTTAGAAATATTTAGCCCGGGTCCGGTCGGGCTTTTGTGGCAAATAACTTGCACCAGGGTTCATGTGCGTAGACGTAGCGAAAGTATCTTCCTTTATTGTTACGAATTTGAAGATGGTCGAACCTGTCTGAACCCCCGTCTGCCAATCGCCTCAGTGAAGGGAGACTTAGGAGAACCCGCCGCGAGCTTGGCCTCCGCTATGAGTGGGCTCTCCGCTAAATTTCTGCATGGAATCTATTGTTATAAACATTGACAATACCATTGAGGATGTTGTTAATGGGTGGAATGACCGTGGATCCTGCTTGGAGCGCACCAAAATTATTGTCAACTGCAGAAAGCGAGCCTCTAGAGAGTCAATGGTAGACGTTACTCTTCTCCCAGACTGATCCGAAGAAGCCCAAGATGGAGGAGTTGCCAATCCTCTATTCCTGGATTCCCGAACCTTTTTACAAAATGGTCACCACATCAGACGAAAATTTAGGTTGGTGACTGACTATGCTTGATTTTGTTAAATATAAAGGTAATTTTCTAGAGGAGTTAAATACAAAAATAATATCTTGCCAAAAAATTAATATTAAGGGCTTAGAAAGGATTATATTTTTTCATGGAAACATGCTAATGAAAAATTTTAATTTTGACAGGTCAAAAGTTACTTTTAAATTTTTTACATTTTTATCAATAATTTTTTTATAAATATTATTAGATTATATACTTTAAATGATAAAGTAATCTCAATTTTATCATATTTTTAAAATATTGAATCGTAATTTATTATCTTGAAATTAAATCAAAAGATACAACTTTATTTATAAGAACCCTAGAAGCCACGAGTTTATATAGGGTTACGAATAACAATATAAGAATATGATTGACTCCTTTTTTTGTGAATTATGTGAGAGATTTAAATGAGAAGAAAATTTTTTGGGTAATATAGATAAAGCTGGTAAATTTAACATACTTGAAAATTTATTTCCATTTAATCCTATCTTTCTCCCAATATCCTATCTTCAGTCACTCCCTAAATCCTACTCAGCCTCATCGTGGCGGGGTTGTAAAAAGCTTGCGACAAAATTTTCTAATGATTACAACAAAGCATAGACTGCGGCCCAAAGTACCCCGTAGGCCTCCTCATCAAAAAGAAGGATGGGCTACCTGTTGGAACCACAATTTGTAAAAATGAAATATATAACGGTTATAAACGACCTGATAATATGGGAAACAGAGCTATAAAGAAAGAGACGCGACACGGGGAGTTTGACGGGAAATGTGGGAAAAGTGGTCGATAAATTGCATAGAAGACATATATATGTGTTGCGTACAAGAGACCAGGAAAGGTAATAGCGCAAGAACAATTAGCAAGACAAGTGAAAATTATAAATTTTTCTGGCAAGGAAGTAATGATAGTAAGGCTCGCGCTGGAGTATTGATTGCGGAGAAATGGGTGGACAAATTACCCAAAGTTAGAAACTAGATAACCAGATAATAATTATTACGATGATTTTTGATAGAAAGCTATGCAATATTATTTCGGCGCATGTTCCTCAGATTGGAAGAAGTGGGTTATAAAGGAATAGATGGAGGATTTAATTATGGCCATTCTGGAAGGGGAGAATAATCAGAAAGCTGGTAACTGATAAGTTGGGTAGTACCAAAAGTGCAGTTGATTATTTGTTAGTAAGGTGATAAGAGTTTATTAAAAAATGTGAAAGTGATACCGGGAGAGGAATGAATTAATCATCATCAACTAGTTTTTGGAGATCTCATTTTTAAAGTCGCCAGGATCACTAAAAAAAGTTTGTGCCAAGGCTGAAGGTTTGAAAATTGAAGGAGGAGAGTACTAGACGTCAATTTAATATGACATTGGCGACACAAGCTTGTGGAGTAAAGACATTTGGGAAGCCAAGAAGAAAGCCTGGGTGAGGACAACTGAGGAGGTATGGTGGTGAACAAAATGGCATCCTTGATATGAGGAGATATGGTGGTGAATTAGGAGGTAGCAAGACTGTGGGAAAGATAAGGAGGTGTTTCAAAGAATGGTATGATAGTAAAGAAAATAGTGATAACGATATTTATAAGGTGGCGAAAATAAATGCCTAGAAATTAATAGCGAAAGCTCAAGAAGAATAAGGGCAGGAGTTTGCTAAAGAAATGAAATGCGCGGATGTAATGGGAAATGCGGTACAGATAGCAAAAAAGAGGCAGAATGTGATAGGTTTTAATTGTTTAAAAGATATGGAAGAAAAAATAGTGATTGATTTTAGTGGTATTAAGAACACGGAATGACTTTTGAACGAAGAAAATGAATGGGTTATTGATGTTAGTTGTGCAAAGGTAGACTATCCAGGGTGTAAATTTGGCAAGGGCGAAATAAAGAATAAGAGATTAATTATTTCTTATAATTAGTTTCCTGATATTGCCTTTATTTTATACAGAGACCTGCAGGCCGGGCTGGGTTGTATTTTTTTTTAAAAAATCCTGACCGGGGCGAAAAAATATTTTTTTAAAAAATCCCGGCCTGGCCGTGTAAAATATATATCTGATTTTATCATATTAATTCGAATTATCAGTAAAAAAAAATATTGCCTTTTCCTGCAAAATATTTATTTTTAACAGACCTAATAAATCATTAAAACTAATAATACTCAGCGAGTTTGAACAGACCTATAAATCATTAAAACTAATAATATTCAACAAGTTTGACTATACTTATATTGGATTTTTTAGCATATTTTATTTTCTTTATCCTTTAAATGCAGTTTAAAAACTTTCTTCATATTACTCACAAGCTATTATGGGGTTAATTTTTGTGTTTATATCTTCCATTATTTTAATAAATATATTAGATATATATTCTCCTGAAATGGCTGCCTGTTTTAATTGATTAATAGAATATGGGGCTTGGATTTGCTTAAATTTATAATGTATTCCTCTCATATATTTGCTAACCATTACTAATAGATTTCTATTGCCATATTTTTAATCTTACGACTGCTTCACAAATCTTAATGAATAAATGCCTTAAAGATATTTTAAATTCAGGTTTGGACTAATGGTCTCCCTCTAGCTTGGGGCTATACCTGTGTCGATTTTGCCGCCAAGTCCAACCTCCCATCTGCCATCGAAAAGGGCGAAATCCTAAAAAAAACAAATATGCTTGCCTTACTAATACCGTGTTTATCCCAATCGTTACCAATACCGTAGGCATGTTCGGAAGATGCTCTCAATTTCATCAAAACTATAGGAAAAAAATGAGGCAGATCTCAGGGGATCCCAATGAAGGATTTTACCTTCGTCAGTAGATTTCTCTGGAAATCTGTCGGTCCAATGTTTTAAGCATTCACTCTTCTCTAGGGTGATTTGTACCCTTTTTTTTAAATTTTATTATTTTTTTTATCTCATTTCTCTTTTATACATACACATTTTTTAATTCATTTTTAATATATTATTAGTTATTTATATATATATTTTTTTAATTATAATTCGTAAAATGAAAAATTTGTGAAAATTTGTTATTTAAATAAAGTATCTCATATCACTAAAAAAAAGAAAAAAATAGAAGGTTTTATTGATTGAAATAATTTCTTCCAGTATATTGAGTTTAGTGATTACCACTGGGACTGCTATTAAATATCTGGTTTAGTTTGCTCATAAGATAAAATATCAATTTATTTGTTTTTTGTGTATTGTTTTCTTGGAAATAATTAATTGATTCAGCTAATATTCATTACAAAAATTATCTCTAAAATTTCTTATATTATATATATATTTCATCTATATTAATTATAACTATACTTTCCAGGCTTAGTATAATTAATTTAGATATTTTATAAAATTTTAATATCAAAAATGCTAATGTTAATTAATTTAGACGAGTATAATGTCGTAATTTTATAATAAATATTAAGAAATGTAGGTGTAAATCTAATAAATTATGTATACTAGTCTGTTTGATACACATGAATATCAGATCCATTACCAAAAATAAATAAATTATACCTAATAGATATCTCCCAACTTTGAAAGTATGTAAAAAGTATCGTAGAAAGAATATATTTATTCACTCTAATCAGCAAAAAATTGACACAAAAAGAATCGTAATATATTAACAAAAAAATATACTAACTTATCAATTTATAAAATAATTTTTTTTAAATTTCAAAACTGTAATAATGAATTAAAAATATATCTCGAAAATATATATTTTAATAATTATTATTTTTTTCTTTACATTTAATAATAATAATTACAAAATTAAATGGGAATACACGCTTTTAATACATAACATACTAGGACACCAACCTTAATAACTACTAACCATATCTTAACTTTCCCTAACCTTTAATCCTACTACTTATTCATACATTAGTTGTTACAAATAATTATAACTTAAAATATATTTCTTCTAATTAAAATCTTTCAGATCCATTGCCTGAGTTAAGCTATTATTATATTATCAGAAATATTAAGAATTAACCTATATATGCAAAAACAAAACACATTTATAATTTATCAACCGAAAAAATATTAAAATATAAAATAATCACAATTATTTAATCAAATAGCACATTATAAAAATTGGAAAAAATATAGAAAAAATTTCCTCTATGTTTACTCTTAAATACATTTTTGTAAAAATAAAATATTTCAAATTTATAAATCGTTTTTGGAAAATAATTTAAGATAATCATATACCAATGCGACATAAATAATAATATGATTTTATATAATGCATATTAATATTTGTTTATTATATATAACAGAAATGATCAGGAGATATTTTCAAGTGCAAATTTTGAGAATGTAAGATATATACTTTCACTTACAAAATTGTGTATGTAGGATATTATTGAATTATTCTCTTTATAAAGATAGAGTTGAGAAAATCTTTTTTTTTAAAATATACATTCATAATAAAAATAAATTTATATATAATAATTTTTATCATCAAAAATAAATATTTTAGGAATGCAAATATAATAGAAAGAACAAAAAATTTGGAAATATAATTTGAATATAATTTGGAAATATGATATGGAAATATAATTTTGAAATAAACATTTACACAAAAAAAAATGAGGGCAATGATAAAAAAATGAGATCACGATTAGTTATAATGCTGGCATCCTTGAAGTGGAAGCCATTATAGTTTGGTAGTAAACTTACCTAAAGTTAATAGATATTTTATCAGATCCCTTTAATATTTAAATATCTGCCGATACTATATCTAATATATGTTTACAAACTCTATCCATATATTATAATTTATCTTAATGAGATCAGAATGATTCAAATTATTTCTTCATTTTGTAGGGTCATTATAATTTTTAGGAAAAATATCTAAATTTTGGAAAGAGTGTAGAAAATGTAAAATAAGAATGGATTGAGGCTGCAGTGGAAATAAAATGATTGCATTTATAAATATTAAAAAAATATTTGAGGAAAGATATTAAACTGACAAATCAAAGCATTTATAAGAGGATTTCATATGTTGTATGAAATTTGTGCTTTAAAAAAATCTTATTTAATTTGATTTTTATTATATTTAAAAACTGTTATAAAAAATGTCGCAATATTTGAGTATTAGGAGTGGACATTATATGAGAGGCTAGTATGGTCATTATATACAATAAAAAAAAACTCTACCAATAGACAACGCCATTTTTGTAACTAACTCAATTTACCCACTCTAAAATTAATAAATTTTTAACTCCAAATTTTATTGATTAAATATATTAAAAAAATCTAAAAGTCAAAAAAGTCATCATCATCATAATTAAAAAATCTAGTACCTTTTATACTCCTTTGACAAAGAGATTACACTTGATTATAAAATTAGGCGACTATTAATAAATTTGATAAATATTAAACAAAATAATTTTTAAAAATAAATAATTTTAAATAATATGACAACTAGGGCTGGCCGACTTACAATTTTTCAAAAACCATAAGTCTTTAAAATACTATGAGATATGAGATAACCAAAATTATATATCAAATTATTTTAATATTTAACAATTTTTTTCTTATAATTGATTACAGTTTAACTTTAAACATAACAAGTCCAATATAAACTCTTCTATAAATAATCAATATTTTTATTCCATAATATTAACAATTTATACCCGTTACTGGTTAACGGTGCATATATGCACCACCTCCTATATACCTTATTTTAACATAGTAGTTTTTATTTTAAAAAATAATAAAAAAGATTTATATATAGTTCAGACATTGTACTTCAGAAACTGGAAAAGAAAAATATGAAAAAAATATTTTTTATGTCCCTAAGAAACCCTCAAACTTTGCGAATTTATGAGGTCTAAATGCAAAATTTTCTAAGGGATCTCACGAGCATATTATAAAATTTTTTCGAAGAAAACTAGTGTGTATATATTCTTTATAGATATATCAATATTTATCAATCATTTTTGAATTTTTAAATAATTAATATTTTAATAGGTAACCACTAAGAAATTTTTAAAAAAATTTTATACCCAAAAAAAGACCTTTTGAAAATAATTAAAAAAAAATTTTTTCCCCTGAGATTAAATCGAATAATATATTGTTCCTATTATAATTTTTTATCCCGATCAAATTATATGAAATTATTAGGTTCATAAATATTCAAAAGTTTAAAATTATTTTTAGCCTCTTCCTTTCTGAAGATTTTATTTTATTTATATAAAATATTATGCACCTGTTTTGTCAATTCAATCAAAATTATCAAAATAATAGATGACTAATAAAAAAATCAAGATTCTACGAAAATAATTTGTCTAGATATTTAATTTTTAATAAATTTTTTTAATGAAACGTTTTCTAACAATTGAACAAGCGCTTGCTCAACTTTTTGAAGAGGAACCAATTGAAGAAAGAGATATGGATATAATTCCGCCAAACATCTCTGCAGTTAGTGATGAAGAAGATTTCGATAAAAATGACTTAACAAATGTCGGAGTTTTGCCTTCAGATACAGCTGGAGAATTGGAGATTCATAATTCAGTTGATGACGACCTTCCAGAACCATATTCTACAAGAAGCTATTCTCGAATTTCTCACAATTTAAAATGGAGAAAAACGGATGCAATATATTCTTCAAGCCCTTTCAATGGAGAAAAGGAAGATGTAATAAATGAAAATGATTTACATGGTAAAAGTCCATCAGATATATTTTCTTTAATTTTCGACGAAGACTTATATTCCCTAATTGTAGAACAAATTAATATTTATGCTAAACAAATGAATAGACCTAACATATGCATAACCATCCAAGATATTCAGAGATTTATTGGAATTCTATTATTTACTGGATATCATTCTCTCCCACAAGAAAGATTGTACTGGTCTAATGACAGCGATATTTCTATTCCAATAATCCGGGATACAATGACCCAATTACAATTTCGAAATTTGAAATATAATATCCATTTGGCAGACAAAAATAGATATACATGATAGATTTTATAAAGTTAGGCCTTACATTAATATATTGATAAATAAATTTCAGCAATTCGGAATTTTTAAACATCATTTATCAATAGATGAACAGATGATACCATATCGAGGAAGACATTCTTGCAAAATGTTCATAAAAGGAAAACCAATTAGATTCGGATACAAGTCTTGGATATTGGCCTCTTCCGACGGTTACGTATTCTCATTTGATATATATCAAGGAAAAAGCGAAAATAAATATGAATATGGATTAGGTGGAAATGTAATCATAAAATTATTAAAGGCATTGCAAAAACCATATTATCATAAAATATATTTTGATAATTTCTTTACATCATTTAAACTCTTGTCATATTTAAAACAAATGGGATATTTTGCTACTGGAACTGTGAGGGACAATAGAATAGAGCATTGCCCAGTTGAAAGGTTGTAGCAAAAAAAGAAAGAGGATATTATGATTATAGGTTTAAAAAATTAAACGAAATATTTGTAGTTCGTTGGAATGATAATTCGGTGGTGACCGTTGCATCGACATGCCACACTATCTCTTTGCTTTCTAATGTTTCAAGGTATTCTAAGAAAATATCTTCTAAAATAAAAATTCCTCAGCCAAATATGGTAACTGCTTATAACAAACACACGGGTGGAGTTGATCTATGTGATAATCTAATATCTACATATAGAATAAAAATAAGAGGAAAAAAATGGTGGTGGCCAATATTCACCAATTTTATTGATGTAGCTTTGGTAAATACATGAAAAATCTGGAAATTCGTGAATCGAGATGACAAGAAGAGTTTGCTTGCATTTAGATGAGAAGTTACTAACTACCTCCTTCGAACGCCAATAAAAATTGAAAAAAATTTAAGTACAGGTCACGCCAGCCAGTTTGCATTACAGTGTGAAAACCCTATTGATTCATCTGGACATTATTTATCCAAAATTATAGATGGAAAAAGACGAAGATGCAGATATTGCCATACGCACTCAAGATATATGTGCCAAACATGTCAAATCGCACTCCATATTAAATGTTTCAAGGATTTTCATAATATATAAACATTTTCTCGTTTTTATTATAAATTACAAAAAAAATATAAAGATTGTTGTGTTTTTGATTTTATAGTATTTTATATAATTTTTATCTTTTTACCTCTTAATGCTTAACGGTGCATATATGCACCAGGCTAGATTTTCTATTTAGGATTATTTTTTTTGGCTGATTTTTTTAGAATATCATATTTGATAATCAATATAATTTGAAAAAATTGAGCATTTTTATTCACTAGAAAAATCTTGACCATTAATGGGATAAATAATTCATATAAAAATTGTGAGAATAATAAAAGTAACTAATATAATTCTCACTCTTTTCTTTTTGGAATATATACATCAATTATACCAGGATAATCTGTCTAAGCATAGCTAGCTATAATTGGCAACTATAGATATACAATAATAAAATATCAATTTAGATTTTTTTCATTTGATGGTTAGATATCGTGATATTTTCTTAGTATAAATTTTCATTTTTTAAAATTATATTTTAGATTGAAAGTATATTTTTATAGATTCTTTTTTTTTTGAAAATACTATAAAACACTATAAAAATTAAAAAATTAAAAATACAATTTTATAATTAAGTTCCAAAAATTGAACCATAATTATGTCTAAAAATTTTTATCTTAATTTTTTAGTGCATAGCCGTATTTTATGGCCTAGATTTTTTAAAAACATATATGTTAATGACAAAAAATGGCCATTTACGCAAATCACTATTAGAGTGAATATGAATGTGTTAAAATATTTATATTGTTAATATTTTTAGTTTCTGTCTGTATTAGTGGATTATGATTAAAAAGTTTAAAAGGGACGCATGTGTAATCCCATTATTAGTGATTTTCCGAGAGCCCAGGGTAATGGTTGTCATACCGTTAGGTCTAGAGCCATTTACTTGAGATAAATTTGCGAATTCAATATGATTCAAAATGTGGACGGCTGTTTGGATTTATTACGTGGTTTATTTTTGGTGGCATTAGGTCCCCTTGACTAAATGTACAATTAAGACCGTGCCCACTACTCTTTGAAAGAATGGATGATTTACAATTTAGACGTAAAAATATTATATTTTATCTTATTTTTTTTATATTTGCATTCATACAAATATTTTTTATAAGGAAAATAGACATTGAAGACAAATATCATCCTTTCTAAAATTAATGACATTTCCTGGTTTAAAAAGGTTCCTGAACATTATTACAAAATTAGTTTAAATAAGAATACCCACCTTAATAAACATGCTCCAGCAATTTTGTAAAATTTATTATTATTAATTTATATATTAATTTTAAAATTCATAATTTATAAATTAGACTTTTTATCTCTCTTTAATGAGAGTTTTAAGACTTAATTAATCGCTAGCTCTATAATTTAACATGATGTATTTTGTAATTTATGTATCGCTTAAGCTAATTTACAGGGTTAATGCGATTATAAATTTATGAGATTAATGCCAGTGGCCCCTACACTTTCTGAGCGAATGAAGCAGAATACCCCCCTGAAAAGTAGTCCACCCCTCGAAAAAATGATAATTATTTTATGACACCCATAAATTTCAAAAATAATTTTTATTGCATCAATTTTTAATATATAATATAAATAAAATGCAAAAAACATATACTTTATATATATTATTTTTAAATTAATAATTTAGATAAATTAGGGGAAGAGAAAGCGAAAGAATTTATAATTTCATCAGTATTTAATTGTTAAATAAATTTTTTTCCATTGATAATATGGTTAAATTATTGAGAAATGAATCTTTCATGGTACTACGAAGTCTTGTTTTAATTAATTTAATTTTACTCATGAATCTTTCGGCAGTACATGAGGTTGTAGGAATGGTTAATAAATATTTATATAAAATTCTTAAATTAGGGAAAGCAGAAAAATTTTAAAGTAGACGATAAGGTAAAATAAATGAATAGTTTTTCCAATCTGAATCGTAAGTCCCTGAATTATCATCATATCAGAAGAAGCTAAATAATGTATTGGTAAAAATATTTTAATTAAATAAATTTACAACTCTCAGAATCTGACAAATCTTTAGATTCTTGAACCTCTAGGTTATGAGTAATAATTACATTCCCCATTTTGGCCATCTTATAAATAATTCTAAATTTCAACATTTCTTCGAAAATTTGACTTGAATTTAAATTGTAAAATTCACAGATATAATGTCTTCTTTAATAATTGATTTTTCTTCTATTCCTTTTGGTGTAAAAAATGATGTTTGATGTAAAAATTTCATCGAATCATCATTAAATCTTTCGTTAAACTGCATATGTTGTATTCATTAAAATTTAATAAAGCTAAATTAATATTTATTATCAGTAGAAAGATAATAAGAATTTTTTGTTCTAATTTATCAAATCTCTGCTCTGTGTCTGCCTATAAAAAAATATAGCAGAGATAAAAAATAAGAAATTAAATGACTTCAGGTTCACTAATTTCATGATCATTATCAGAATCATCAGATACTATATTTTCTTTTAACACATTTTCTTTATTATTAGGACCACTTTTAAAAAATAATTATAATTCCCAATTCTTACTTCTTTTTTCTTAAATTGCGATTTAATACCCTTTATAATAAGATAAGTTAAACCTCTTTGAGCAACAATAGTTTTAACATAAGAGAAGACGCATATGATATGAATTAGTTTCATTTTCTTAATAATATTTTGATTTACTGTTTAAATAAAGTTATGATCACATAAAAAGTTCATTAATTTAATAATTTAAAAAATAATAATTATTATATTTTCTGCAAATGCTTGCTAATTATATTTTAATTAAAAATGTAAAAATATCTGTTATATAATTATAAAAGTCATTTACCTATAACAATTAACAAATAATCAATTTTTTTTTCCCAACCTTTCTCATGTTAAGAACCCCTCAGTATTAAATCAAGATAAATTATTTTAAAAAAATTCATAATGAATATAATTTAAAAATTAGCTTTAAATAATAATTTTTTTATATTAATTTACCTATAGGAGGGATATATAAATCAGAATAAAGGAAGCTTCTTCCCCCTCCCCCCTCTCACATTTTTTTAAAATATTTTAAAAATAACTGTCCCCTCTTTTTAGAAATATATGATGAATTTTTATCCCAGGGAATTATCATCGGCTTACCAAATATCGATATTTTTTGCAAATATTTGCGATTAGGATAATATAATAATTATTATTATGGTTATTTACATAAAATATTAATAAAGAATTGAATTTTTTTAACCCTATTAGACCAGAAATATTTTTAATATAGATTTTAATGAATATCTTTTTATTAAATATTTTATATTTAATATTTAGTGGATTTTACTTTTTGAGACAATTGTAGTTTTGATCTCCCCTCTTCCGTTTTCATCATTTCTAAACTCTTTTTTTGGCCTTTTCATTGTACGTCCATGCCACCATAGTCTATTCATAATGATCTTTGTTATTATGTGTACTACCTTTAAACTTCATAGTATAATTCGTAAGTTATCTTTGCTATTATTCTCTAGAAAATATTTCTCTTTAAATCAGATAAAATAATTATTCCAAAAAACGTAAAAATAAATATATAAGATGTACTTGCTAGAGATCTGGGAACAGATAAGCCAAAAATATTGGCAAACTGGAAACAATTCTGAGGCAGATTTGAGCATAAATAATATCCAAATTTTATTAGAAGGGGAAAAGGTAATGTAATTATTCTAACACTAAGTCCGGCGAATAGTTAACAAACCTAAACATTTAAAAGACTCGTTGGTAAACTCTCAGTACATAGACATTTAGAAAAATATGTAGTAAAAGATACATTTCATTATAGTTGGATCGATATATTTAAATATTTGCATATTAAAGTTATTAAAAATATTAAAACATAAAACGCGAATATATATCTTTATGAAATTTTTATTCAAATCAGGGATTAAAAATATCCTG